TTCTGCCTGGGGTGGGGGGCATGTGACATGGTCCTGTCACCATTTTCTCCTGCAGCCTGGGCGGCATCTTCACTGGACCCAGGAGACTCCCCGCCTTTTCCTTCACCACCACCTACACTGTTTCCCTTGCTGGGTCTGGTTGGAGTTGGGATCCTGTCAAAACAACAGGAATCCCGGGTCATACAAGAGCATAGCTCTAAAAAAGTAAATTAATCAATTAAATTAAACTTAAAAATAAAACCCAAAGAGCCATAGGTCAAGTACCTGGCCAAGGGGTCCCTTCTTGCTCTGTGAAGATGGGAGAGATGGGCTTTCGAGGCAGATGAAAAATACACAACCCGGTGAAGAGGAATGAGGAAGGCAGCGCTGAAGTCGCACACACCTGCCCCACGGCTGTGTCCACTGGCGACCTGCCGGCCTGCTCATCACTTTTACCTTGAGGCTCTTGGAAGTGCAAGTAGGCTGAGCTGTTGGGGCAGGTTGGGCCCAATCAGCTGCCCCACAGCTTTGGAGATGCAGCGCCTGCCCTGAGGACCCTTCCTGGGCGGCCTTCGGCCAGGGCAGGTTCCCAGGAAGGCCCTCTGCTGGGTGGGTCTCTGCTTCCTCTGTTCACACTTGCAGGACAGAGGGCCTCCCGAGCACTCTCCACCACCAGGGGCCACTTCCTAAGCCTGCAGCGTCTGCTCCTGCAACACCTCCCCCGGGGGAAAAAGGTTATTTTGTTTCTGGTGAGATTTGGGTTTGCACCTGTGAATTCACAGTTTTCCTCTTGCATAATAAAAGTAGTGATACTAGTTTCTAATGGCAACGTTGTAACTTTCTTCTTAAACCAGTTGGTTTACCTAAGTCTGTCTAATGCCCAAGCAGCCCGAGGTGGGCGGTTCTGCTCCAGCCTCAGACAGGGACTGTGCTTCTGGTTCCCTTTCTCCATCTGAACGACTTTCATTTGTAGCTGAAACGCAGTTTTGGGGAGGCTCTGACCCGGGGGATGGGATGGAATTGCCGGGGACTGGGTTCCATGGCTTCCCAAACTATTTTTGAAGTATGTTTGGTTCAGTAAAGCTCCAAACAGTTTTTTGAGGGACTTTTTCCATTCGTTTTAAACCCGAGTGAATTTCAAGGGGAATTTGGTCCATGTGCTTCTGATTCATTACAAGTAAATCATCCAGAGGCCGTGTCAGGAGCGTTTGATGTCCCGCGATGGGGGTGGTTTACAAGCCACTGAGCCTTTTTTCTACTTAGAGACAGGAAGTGGCATCTCGCCAAAGTGTAATGAACGTGAGCCCTCAGCGACGTTGCCCACACCCGCCAGCTGCCGTGGCCCTGGACAGAGTGGCCCCAGGAGCCATGGGCGGCGGGTGGGCAGCTGCGCTGGGAGGTGGACGCTGGTTCGCATCAACCCCCACCTGGGCCTTGGTTCTCAGACAGCCAGAGTCCCTAACGGGTATTTTTTAAAACTGTAGTAAAATACACATAACAAGAATGTACCATCTTAGCCACTTTTAAGCACACAGCTCAGTGGCTTTAGGCACATTCACACTGTTGCACAGCCATCACCACGGTCCAGCCACACGTCTTTCATCTTCCCAAACTGAACTCTGTCCTCTGCCCCAGCCCCTGCCCTCTGTGAATCTGGCAGCTCCAGGACCTCACACACGGGGAACTGCGGCAGCTGCCATGCTGAGCGGCTGGTTTCACTGAGCCTAACCTCCTCCAGGTCCATCCGCCTGGGAGCTGCCATCAGAATGTCCTTCCTCGTGGGCTGCATGACCCCCACTGTGTGTCCATAACACGTTTTCCTATCCACTCGTCCACTGAAGGATGGGTATTTGGGTAGTTTCCACCTTTGCCTGCTGTGAATGATGCTGACTTGATCACGGGGTGCAGTGTCCTCAGACCCTGCTTTCAGTCCCCTGGGAGACAGCAGGAGGTGGGGCTGCCGGGTCCTGGGCCTCACTGTCCTGTCACGGGGCCCAGGCAGGGCCATCGCTGCTTCTGAGGGACTGACTGACCATGTGCTGTGACCTCCAGTCCTCACCGGGCTCAGGGAGGGACCCAGCTCTGAACACCTGGGGGAGGAACCCGGCCAGGGCCCTGAGGCCACCAGGGGGCATTTCTTAGCTTCTAGTGCCACCTGCTGGAATCTTCTGGAATTACACCCAGCGGGCGCCCAGGGTCTCCTGTTACTTCAGCCACAGTGACTGAGGGGTCACCCGCCCAACAGGGTGCTCAGTTCTCAGGACAGACGCCGAGCTCGTCCCAGCATCACCCACATGCTCCCTACACCAGGACAGAGGGACACGAGAGGACACTGGGAGACCTGAAGGCCAGGTTCCCCGGGGTCCTGGGGCAGAAATGGCTTCATGGGAATCGGGAGTCTCTGGCCCACCTTGTGGGGACATCAAGTGTCTTCCTAGGGCCACCGGACAAGGGCCTTGGCCGAGGAGCTCTGTGCTGTCTGTGCAGCTTCCCCCAAAGTCCACAGTCATTTCAGGACATCAGGCTGGGGGGGGGCAGGCAGGAAGTCCACTCACGGTGGACAAGGTCCAGGTTGTTCAGGGACACAGGGACCCCAAACTCTGCTGAGAAATCGAGGGGCCTCTGTTGACTCTCTGACCCCAGTGACCTTGACTGTGGGGACCAGCTGGAGTTGCTAAAGGACCCTTTCCACCTGAGACCAAGGAACCGGGATTGATGGTGCTCCAGGCCTGTCCCCACGTCCCCCTAAACTCCCTCATCCCCCAATGCTGTGCCCCACTCCCTTGTCCCTTGACCCACCCCCATCCGTTCCTCACCATGGTCTGGGACGTGGCTGAGCTCTAGATGCCTTTGCTCCTCAGATTTGGGTAACATTCTGAGCGCTGGGCTCCAGGGAAAATCACCCCTAACACCCCTGAGCCTCTACGCCCCCCACCTCACTGCCAAGTGTTTCCTGAGGAGTCAGGTGACCACCACCCTGAATGGGACAAGGCCAGCCCATCCCCCTCCCACACCCACCGGCCTGTCCCTCTATCTGTCCAGCCCACTCAGTCCAAAGGGGCCAGGCACTTGGGGTCACTTCCCTGTCCCCCCTCCTCACACTAGTATGGCCCCCTAACTCACACCATCGTCCCTCCACTCTCATCACAGTTGCTCCAAAAAGCAAACTGCAGCCAAACCCGGTGATCTGAACACGCTGATGTGCTGACCCTGGTAGGTCCAGGACAGAGCCCTCAGCAGCTGCCCCCCCATCGGTCTCCAACGCTGGCTCACCTGGCCTCACCCCTGAGCACCCACCACCTCTGTGAACACCTGCCAGACCCTCCCGCGCACGCCCTCTGCTCTCCGCACCTCCGGAGGGCTGTCCGCAGGCTGTTTCCTCCTGGGTGAGCCCTGGTGACCTCAGGGTGCAGGGGCGGCAAGGGCTGTGAGCCAGCCCCACCTGCTGGCCGCTCTGCCCCTCGCCCCCGGCTCTGGGCCCCACCTCGGGGTCTGTGCACAAGCTGTCCGGTTCCTCTTATTTCCAGCTTTCCTCACCTGCTCGGAGGAGCCTGTTACCTGCCCCGACCCCTGCCCCACACCCTGCCTCCATCTCACCTGGCTCCCTCCCCAGGACAGTTGTCACCCTCAGACCTGGGAGCCGGGAGCCTGCTCAGGGACACGGTGGACACGGTGTGTGGGCGGCAGGAGGGTCCCTCCTCCCGAGGAGCTCAGCGGACGTGAAGACCCAGGGACACGGTTAAACCGCTGAAACCATGTTCCAGGCAAACTCTTGGTTTCCTGACACCAACGGGAACCCATCTGCTCAGGAGCCCAGGCTCCGCGTGTCCCTTCCCACAAAGCCTCTAGCCCAGAGTCCTGAGTCCTGTTGCTCACAGGGGGGGTTTATTTAAACGAGCGGCCACCCACGCCCTGTCCACAGGCTGCCCAGGACCCCATGAAGCCCAGGTTCTGATGCTGCCACCCGCCTGCCCGCTGTGTGGGGCTGGAGGGCTGGGGGCCCGTACGGTCCGGACTTGGAGGGACCTCTGGGGACACT